TAGATCTGTCTGACTGACAGCAGGTAGACAGGTGAGACTGTAGATCTGTCTGACTGACAGCAGGTAGACAGGTGAGACTGTAGATCTGTCTGACTGACAGCAGGTAGACAGGTGAGACTGTAGATCTGTGCGTCTTAGTTTTGATGGGCTCGTTGAAGTTGGACTTGTGGTCTCGTCCGTACGTCTGTAAACTTCCTCGTCCTGCCCATAACCTCTGATCCTCGAGATCATTTTATGAAACTAGGCAGTGTCACATACATTTCTCATCGTTCCAGCTTCAAGGTCACAAATCAAGGTGTGTTCAAGGTCCAGTCGGCCTTTCTGCTGTGACTGTGCGACACCCAACGTGATTATAGAGCGCGGCACGATGTTCAGTCACTCCTGCCTTCAAGTGTTTGAAATCTTTCAGCTCATCATTTTTCCTGCTGAACTTGTATATATGTTTTTTATAAAAGGACAGTTTGATGCCACTGCAGGATATTCAAGCATGAGCTCTTAAACTGTTCTTCTGCTTTCTCTTTAATTATTATCACATAAACTTCCTGTTTTACTCTTTACCGTCTTTTCCTGGTTTTTCTCTCCGATCGCTTCTTTCTCTTTTGATTCGTTGCTTTCTTCCTTTCTTGTGTCCTTGCCGTCAGAAGGATGTCGGAGGTGGAGAGGAACGGCAGACCTGAAGGGTCCAGGTGTGTTTCTCAGGTTGTGTTCTGATTGGTTTGTAGAGATTGTGAGATGTTTGTGTGTTAGCTGCTGAGGAGACGCACTCCAGGTGTTTTATTGGTGACGGAAGCTTTAAAATAATCTGACTCTTTCTGTGTTTTCATCGCCACTTCCTGTCTCTTCTCTCCCCAGCCGTAACGTGACATCTGATCAGAGGGAGGAGCCTGCGTCCCCCACCGCTCCTCACCTGAAGGACTCCAAGCCGCGCTCCCTGAGGTTCACCTGGAGCATGAAGACCACGTCCTCCATGGAGCCTATAGACATGATGAGGGAGATCAGGAAGGTCCTGGACGCCAACAACTGCGACTATGAGCAGCGTGAAAACTTCCTGCTGCTTTGCGTGCACGGAGACGGGCACGCCGACAGCCTCGTCCAGTGGGAGATGGAGGTGTGCAAGCTGCCCCGCCTCTCGCTCAACGGCGTCCGCTTCAAGCGCATATCGGGAACGTCCATTGCCTTCAAGAACATCGCCTCCAAAATTGCCAACGAGCTCAAACTGTAGATGCACAGGTGCAGGGAGTGACAGGTGAAGACGGAAAGGGAGGAGTGAAGAGGGAGGGGCCGGAACGATAGGAAATGAACGAGAGATCTGAAAAATGATTGATCTTTAATTGACCGCAGTTTGATGCATCTGACTGAGGATTGGTTGCTTTACTCTCCTGTCTGTCTGCTGATTGGACACATCTGGATTCATCAGTTATTGGTGAAGCAGTCTGTCTGCCCGTCTGTCTGTCTGTCTGTGTATGTACGGGGTTTCCCTCCCTGCTCAGCCAGGGCTGCACCACATCTGGATGATTGGACTTTAGTGCAAAGGATCATGGGACTCTGAGGCCCAGCTGTTACTTTTTATTTTCAAAGAGCCTCCGCAGACACTGACCTGCAGGTGTTTTTGGCTCCGCCCACTACATGTCCCACAGTAGGGCCAGTGGGCGGAGTCACGTAGGCAGGTTAGTGTGTTTGTGAATGTAAATAGTTTCTCACCTTGTTTTCATGTTGATTTTGTACATGTGAGCAGTCAGCTGATCCACAGCTGGTTGTTTTTCTGAACCTCAGGCTCACCTGTGTCTCATTAAACACGTTGAACGCACCCGCAGCTTCCTGTCGTTAAACCGCAGCGGCTCCTCCGCTTCTGGAGCGATTAATTTACAGATGGACGTCTGGACAGCAGAGGTCTCATCAGTCCACCAGATCACTGCTGGATCTCTGTCCAAGCCGAGCTCATCACTTCCTGTCAGAACAGGAAGTCCGACTCCTCGTCAGCGTCTTAATCTCATTTGAACCGCTTCGTCTGCCATGTGCCAGTTTACAACAACGGTTATCAGGAGGTTCTTAGACAAGTTCAGTTCATTTAGTTCAGGCAAAGTTATGGCAGTGCCATTTGTTCAGTGTGAAACAATAAAATTTTATTGATTTATTTATGAAATGCAGATTCAAAATGGAAGGCCCAAAGTTTCGTGCTCAGCTGAACGTTGCAAACTGTTGTTGCTCAGATTATGTGTTTGAGATGAGACTCTGGGACCACCACACCAAATTTTACTTAAATATCTGTAAATTATTTGTGTTCTAGCAGTTTTTTTGTGTTTTTTAAAGTCAGTTGGCTGTGGCGGCCATCTTGAAAATGAATCTGTTCAATCCAATATTATGATTGAATCAACTGGAACACACTTTAAACTTTACACTTATTGAAAACCACGGTGTGGATGTTGGTCCTGGAGTGGAGCTCCTGTAAAGGTTTAAACACAGATCTAGTGCTCTAGTCTAGAGTTACAGAATCTAGAGTCGGATGGTTTAACACACCCAGGACTGTTTGTGACTCGATAAAGTTTAACACCTTGATATTTTTGAGCTGCTTCAAAATTCACTGCAGCATCCGCGACTGAAAACTGAGAACCTGAGATTTGTTTTTGTGAAACTTGTTCGCCAACTGGTCTCCAGTGGTCCCAGCCCAGTGAGAGACCAGTTCAAGAAAACAAAGGGTTAAACCATTCTTCACCACAAGCTGCCGTCTCCTCGTTCCACTGGTCAAACCTGACGCTTCGAGCTGCTGCACCTGACAGGTGAGCAGACCATGTTTTATAATGGCTTCTCTTTCATCCATAAGATTCTTCATTGACACAGATTTGAGCGTTTGCAAATGAAAACAGCTTCAAGTGTTAAAAAGTGATATTATTTTTCTTGCATTTAAATGTTTGTGCTTTAAACTCCGTAAAGATTGTTTTTAATGTTGACCTCGTTTAGTTCAAAATGTTGAGGTTCACTCCACGTGTCCTGCCTGCACAGAGCAGACGAGATGTTCTGTGAAGTTTACGATACCATGAAACTGAGGATTGTGATTTATTTCAGAAGTTGCATTTTCAAAACCTGCACTCAGTTTGGTTACCTGTGGTACTCCAGATGGTCTCTACCTGTGGTCCTCCAGGTGGTCGCTACCTGTGGTCCTCGAGGTGGTCGCTTCCTGTGATCCTCCAGGTGGTCGCTACCTGTGGTCCTCGAGGTGGTCGCTACCTGTGGTCCTCCAGATGGTCTCTACCTGTGGTCCTCCAGGTGGTCGCTACCTGTGGTCCTCCAGGTGGTCGCTACCTGTGGTCTTCCAGGTGGTCGCTACCTGTGATCTTCCAGGTAGTCGCTACCTTTGATCTTCTAGGTAGTCGCTACCTTTGGTCCTCCAGGTGGTCGCTACCTGTGGTCCTCCAGGTGGTCGCTACCTGTGGTCCTCCAGGTGGTCGCTTCCTGTGGTCCTCCA